TTCTCCCGCCCATTCGTGCATTCTTTCCAAAAATCGAGACTTTTTAAAAACGCCGCGGGAGGTGGGACAAATTGTTGAAAAGCCGGACGTCTGGTCACCCTAGACAAGAAGGACCATCAGAGTGGCTGAGACCCTCGCGTCTTTAGTGAGAAATAATTTATCTTCAGAAGGGAAGTTGGAGGTGCAAGCTCTCAAGCTGGTGGTACATAAACTGATACCACAAAAAGGCTTTCTGAAGGGGAAGAGTGAGAGTCCGATGAAGAAAGGAGCAGCTGTGCAGAGAAGGGGCGGTCTGTGTGTGTCACGAGTGTGTCCACTGGCTGGCCGGCCACTCCAGGCCAGGCCTCCTGAGGACGTCCAGGGGCAACGAGAGTGCCAGAGAAAACACTCCAGGCTTGAGGGCCGGGAGCCTCTCTTAGTGGAAGTCCAAAATGGGAGCCCAGAACTAGAGATGTTTTGGGTAATCTATTTGGATAAGACTAAATAGGTTTATAATTAGATGAAAGGAAGTGGACCCCACAGGCATCAAAGTAAGTACAAGCGACTGGCTGGTGTGGGGGCATGGAGGGGCTAACTTTGGAGAAATTCAAGAAAAACAAAGAAAAATTACTGTAGTAGTAAGCTAGGCAGTGGAAGAGGAATTATGGAAGAGATGTCCTAGCTTGCAAGGTGAAATGCAAGGTGATAGAGGGCTTTGAGAAAACAGAAGGCTTTTCTACTGCCATCCCGGTGATGGCAATTAACATGGCAGGGATAATATGATGCCACTGAAAGACACAGGATGAGATGAGTGGTGAGGCTGGGCAGGAAGGCTGACACCCGGAATCTGCACAGTGCGAACAAGCTGCCTCTCCCAGGGCCTTGGACAAAGAAAAGCATTTCCAGACTCATTCTTGGTTCTTCAGCAGGCAGGCTGGGATGGGGAGGAGGGCCAAGAACAAATGCAAGGGTTCTGAGGCAATGCCAGAACTGCCCTGGAAGGAGCATGTGACAGGACCCCACACAAGCTGCGAAGGACCTTTAAGAACATGCCCCTGGCCTTAGGCAGAAAGGGGTCAGTGCAGCCTGTGCTGGTGCAACTGGTGAAGAAAGCGTCGGGACAGAATCTGAAGCTTTGAGGGTGGAGGTGTGCAGAATTACCACACAGCTGAAAGGAAATAAGGAATGTGGGGATGGCCCAGTGGGACTCAGAAGTACTGACCAGTTCTTTCGCTCATATGCCTGCCAGGACAAATGTAAGTGGCTCTAAGACTTAAATGTTGAAAAAAATAAGACCACAAAAGTACTAAAAGAAACAAAACACCATAAAAGTACTAAACAGCTCTTTGGAACCCTGGGAGATTTCTTTTATCATGTTGCGTAGTGAAGCCTATTTTAGATGCAACACCCAGAAGATTATTTTTCTGTAATAATCTTCTGATAAATTAGACTATAAATACACACACACACAAGAAAAACCTCTCTGTCTAGTAAAATAAGTAAGCAAAGTAAAAAGGCAAGTGGAATATTGAGGAAGATAATTGTAACTCAAATCACCAAGAGCAAGTTTCTTTAATATGTAAAAAGGTCCTAGAAATCAGTAAGGGATAAATAATAAATCAGTAAGGATTAAATAAATAATAACACCATTGGAAAAATGGGGAAAACAAATGAACAGATAGTTCATAGAACAGGAAATAGAAAGAGCTTTGAAATCCATGAAATGATACCTGCCCTTATCCTAAAGAGCAAGACAAATCCAAACTATGTCGAGATACCAGTGCTATTTGTCATGTGGGAAAAGATCAAGAAGTTTGTTAGTACCAGCCTATTGGAAATAATCTGCTTCCCAGATTGTTGGTTAAGTGGGTAAACAGGCACAAATTTCATGAAGGCTATGGGGGAAGAGCTATTGACACTATGAATGCACAAAGTCTGTGACCCAGCAATTCTGCTTTTGTGGATTTATCCTACAGACTCATTCACACATGTGAAATGACCACACACAAGGTTACTCATGGCAGAGGGGACTGTAGTAACAAGAGTGGACGGTGTGTTCATCACTACAGGACTGGTAAACATCCAGTG